GTGGCCAGTGCACACATCTCCCCTTAGGGTGAGCTTCCCAGAGATCATCTCGTTGAGGTTTATTTCAAAAGATGTCTGATGTTCCTCCTTTTGGAGGAAGTCAGGAGGAACCTACCACAGACTAGTCAGGAGAGGAAGTCAGGAGTCCTGAATATCCATTTTCCGTTCCTCAAACCAGACAGTTTCCTCCAACATTCCTAATCTTGGCCTGACCAAAGTCCCCAGCCCTGTGGGGCGTGGCTCTCCCTAAGGTGCAGGGGGAGGGGCAGGAAGGAGAAGACTTGCAAGGGAGAAGGCAGAGAGTGGAGGGAGAGGGAGAGACTCCCACTCCACCTGTCCTTATGGGTGACACAGGGCAGGGGCCTGTGCTCAAGCCAAGCCTGAAGAGCACGCGTCCCCTTGCTGGTGTTGAGTGCCAGCAGGAGAGTGCAGAGGAGAGCACAGAGCTGCCAAGGGCAGCAGTACTCTCCCTCCCTCTCCCACAGCCTCCCAAACCACACCCCAGTCACTTAAGGCGGCTCTTGGCAGGGTCACCCGACACAGGGACAGGCCAGCTGTAGTCACAGCCACCAGAGCAAAAGCGGTAAAACTTGTTTGTCAACTCTATTAACACATGGGCACACCACAAAGATATAGGAGACGCACACAACACACACACACACACACACACACACACACACACGCGCGGCAGGCCCACACCTGTAGATGATGCACAGAGACCCCCAGAGGGAGCTCAAAGGAGTCTGTGCAGCAGGGTGCCGTTTACCCTAGAGCATCACCCAAGCTCGAGCCCATGCCCAGCCCATAAAATCAACTCTTTACACACGCACTTCTCCTGTAAACAAGCCACCCCCAAGCCTCACGAGCTCAGAGACAGACCGTCAGCAGTGCACGTGGTGAGGAAGCTGATCGGAGTCACCTGCAGTCGGCCAGGCTCAGGCTGCGTGGTGTGGCCTCTTAGATCTGGCCCGCGGGGACAGGGACCATCACAGGTGCAGAACCCTCAGTGGGCCCCCGGCCGCCCGTCCCATGAGGACACTCATCGGGCTGTGAAGAGGACGCGCCCAGGGATCCGGCTCCTGGGGCCTCAATGTAGCACCAACTCTGGGACTCCCCACTTTGTGGACCTTCGTTTTCTTTCCACACAATGAGAGACAGTAAACTTCCTCAAAGTTCCAAAATTTAACCAAATGGGGGAAAAACTTCCACCCCACCATAAAGATCCTGGTTCCATACACCTTCCAAATCCTTAGGGGAAAAAATGAAACCAAAAAATCCCTTCACTATAGCACCCATGTAGCAAAAGGCCGGGGGAGAAAGCAAGAAACAGCAGGAGAGTGTGGTCAACAGGAAGACAACAGCCGACGGAGGTTTAACAAGACCGAGAGGGCAATCACCTCCATAAAGCGAATGTGCCCAGACCCTGAGATTGGGCAGAAGGCAGCTAGACAAAATCCGTCCAGATACGGTTGACACAAGTCAGCTACAAGGGAACAAAAAGCCCCAGGAAACCCCTGGTTCTGAGTTGGAAGGCAGAGCCAGTAGCTTTGAGGAGACAGGGGCGAAGTAAGTCCAGTTACGAAATGTCCGTCTGCACAAGGGCCGAGAGCACAGTGTTGCACGGAGGCCTGGGGACGTGTGGGGCTCTTGCAGAACTGGTGTCCATGGGGAGAGGGAAGCACATGGAGGCCAACTCTTGGAGCATCCTCCTGCACGGAGTTGTCCTCTCCTGCCTCCCTCAGATACACAGGCCACCCGCCTCTCACGGGGCTGTCCCAGACCCCCAAGCCTCTCTCTGACCTACATGTTTATTCTCCTCTGGGAGAGCCCCTCTCAAACCAGGCAAGCACAGGGCCACCAAGAACCACCAAGAGGCTGAGCAACCATTTCTTTATCCAAAAACACTTAAAATGCTGAAAGTATTCTAACTTCTTGTTAAGAAGCAGGATTCTTATATCGTACACAAGCTCTGCAGTGATTTGCTGGGACACTTTGTGGCTTTGACCCCGCTAGGACAAGCAGCCCGTACAGGAACCCACCCCGGCCTCCTCTCCAGCCTCCCACCTGTATGCCACCCCTCGCAGTGCTGCAGCAGGAGCGTGTTGCTTCCTTTGCTGTACTTGGTGGTTCGCTTTCCCAGGCAGGAGTCTCGCTAGCTTATAATTACAAACAACGTGCTCTGATTGGCTCTCTCATAAGCAGGTAACACTTCTGAAGTAAGGGCCTCCAGCAGGAGAATCCAGGCTATAAACCCTCAGAGCCGCAAGGAAAAAGGACATTAGAAGACACGGGGGCCGACACGCAGAGGCTGGTCAGACGGTGTGCAGACGAGGGAGGTTTCCAGAAGGCGGGCAGGATGGCCAGAGTGGGATGGAAGAAGAGAAGGAGAGAGGAATTAAAAGGGCATTCATTCATTTGTTCATTCATTCACCCATCTAGTGCCAAACATACCATGCGATGCTGAGAGACACCAGCTGTGCCCACCGTCTAGCTGGGGAGACAGACAAGGAAAGAGACAACTGCAAAGGCATGGGATCAGTGAGGAGAGAGAGTCGTGCCCCTGGCACCAGAGCGCAGCTCTCCCAGCCTCCCGGGAAGGCAGGAGAGAGGAAGAAGGCTGGGAGCTCCCCAGAGGAGGGAGGAGACTGGGCCAAGGCCCCAGGCAGAGAGGAGGTGGGGAGACCAGGGGGAGCGGAGCCTGGCAGAAGTGTTTATCTGCAGGGCTGGAGGAGGGCTGTGACCCAGCAGTCGGGCAGGAAATCTCCCAGACAGGAGTGAGCTGGGCCTGGGGGATGGGGCCCAGCACTGCGGCCCCAAGGGCTGGGAAAGGGCCTGTCCCCATTTCCTGCAGGCTGGGTCGCCTCGGGCCAACCTCACTCTGGCCTTAGTTTCCCCGCTGCACCTCAAGGAGAAAGAAGGTGTACTTTGAGCTCTGGGGCTAAAAGGCCCAGCTGAAGCCCAGACCACCACTCCCTGTAAAACAGGGCGGATGACGCCACGGCTCTTTTTGGCTGGTGAGTAGCCTAATCATCTTTGAAGATGAAACATGACTGGGCCTAATGAGGAGTCAGTCGGCTGAGGTGGGAGTGGGGCTGGGCTGCGGTAGCCCAGTCACCTGCCCCACCTGGCCCCTTCCAGTCAGAACAGTACTCAGCCCAGGGGGACAGAACACTTCACATTTCTGCGCAGACCACCTGTGTCCCCCACCAGCCCCAAAACTCCCCCGCCCTCCTCTACTCTTGGCTACCTCACCCTCCAGCCAGAACCAAGACCAAGTGGGTTGAGCTGCAGCAAAGGCACATGAGAGCTGCCTTGGCCTCACGTGCCCCTCTCACTGCTCTGGAGCAGCACACCCAACACTTTGGGGCACTCTGCAGAGCCACACCAGCCCCTCCATGTTTCTAGGCCAAACACGCCATTTCCAATACGGCAGCTGATGTGGGTGTGCACGGTGGGGTTCTTCACAGGCTCCTTCACACGTGTGAGAACAGTCCTCACAGTAAAGGATACCCTCAGCCCACTTAGTCCCCTCTCTTCCCAGGCTGTTGAGCGAACATCTGCTACCAGATGGGCTCTGAAATGCAGTGAGCCAAATGGCAGCCTCTGGACTGGCAGTAATGACACCTCTGCTAGGTGAGGTCACGGGGGTGGCCCCCAGGGTGCCTGGAGGTCGCACTTTTCACTTGGCCAGACCAGACGCAAGCCTGTCTTTTCCCCCTCACCATCCCCCTTCTTCGTCTCTCTTTTTTCCTTCCCCTAGCCCAGGACTGGGGCCAGCCCACTTGTGCCCTGCTCAGACAGACCCCCAGGGGCTGACCCACCTCCTTCCTAGAGGTCCTGGAAGACCCAGACTCAGCCTACTCTGCCAGCTCCAGCTCCCTGGGAAAGAGTTGGCAAAGGAGGACGGGGCACGTAGACAGCTCACCTCTCCCAGGAGGCAGCAGCCTCGTAAATGCACTAACATTAGGCACAACTGAAAGATAACCTTCCCTACGTGTTCCGGAAGGGGAGCCTACACCTGGGGACTATCATATCTTTTTAATGGTTTATTTGTGTTCATTAAGTAATTAATTCATTTATCTGATTTGCAGAATGATGCCCAAAGGTTGGACTTCTGCATCATCAACATGTAAGCTCTGAGTGAGCTTCTGGAATTACCCCCTTCCTAAATTAGGAAGATGTCTATCTGCATTCTTCATCCCCGAGTCCCCAGGATAGCGGAGCTCGCTGACATCTACCCCCGGCTCCCCCAGGAGCCAGGCTTGGGAATCCCAGTCTGAAGCCCCTACACTACCACCCCTGCTTGACCTTCACCCCAGGGGCCACCGGCTTCACCATTCCAAGCCCCACAACCTGCAGGCTTGGGGGTACCTCGCTGCGCCTGACTCCTGCCAAAGCATGACTTTCAGGAACGCTGGGCAACGTCTGGAAAGTCAATTAGGAAGAACTGGGGACAAGCCAAGGACTCAGCCTCCGTGACCACCACAGTGAACAGGAACAGGGAGGGTGGACCCAGTTCTGCCCTGGAAAACAGGGTGCCTGTCACCTCTGGACACTCCCTAGGCTGCTTCTTTTGTGTGCGCCCTTCCCACCCCGACTCCCCTCACCAGCATTTCAGCTCCTGCCTCCTCTCTCAACTGTGCTGTGAGATGAACAGAGCACCCCATGGCTAACAAAGCCACGCCAGGCTATACAGGACGCAGCGAAGCCCACGAGCAGGGCAAGGTGGACATTCGGCCTGCACACCTGTGCACACGGCGACCCCGCTGCGCCTCTGTGAAGCACGGGCAAGGGCACTAATTACAGGCTGTGCAGAGGTAGTGAGCACCTCCTCTCGCCAGAAGGAGGCAGCTTACTGGGCTTTGTCCCCACAGGGCCCAGGGGTTTCAGGAGAACTGGTGGTCCTATGGCCCCATAGGCTGTGCAGCGTGGACAGCCCTGCCTTCCCCGCTACCCGTGGTGCTGCACCTTGGTGGAGGGGGCAGGGGCTGGGTGCTCACCTTGTGGTCTAGCTCTGCCCTGGCCTTTGGCTGTTGCTCCCGGCAGGGTGGCAAGGTCTCAGCGCCCAGGTACTGCCCGAGGGATGATGGCCTCATGAGGCTCAGGAGCTGGCTGAGTGAGGATAGCTGCGGAGGAGAAGGGAGGCCATCACTCACAGAGGGTGGCAACCGAGTGCGTGGGGCACTTTGGGGACTCTTGGCCTGGACGCCTTGGCTGGCAGGAGCCGGTCAGAGCATGGGCTCTGGAACCAGACCTCCGGCCTCCTAGACCCGGTCCACCTCTCACTTCGGAGCTGTGTGGTCCCTTGGAGCCTGAGTGTCCTGTCTGTAAAACGGAGACAGCCACAACCCCTCTCCCCAGGAGAGGAGGGTCACACGCACACGGCACCTGGCACAGGGTGAGCCCCCTCAGAGAGGGAACCAGGAAGATCTCCAGAGGCTGGAGGTCTAATCCACTTCCCTGGAGGAAGCAGACACTCGAGGTTTAGAAGAACCAAGACCAGCAGAGAGGTCTCCTCTGCCACCAGGCAAGACCCTTCCCACCCTGAGCTGCTGCTCATGTCTGCTGGCCCACTCTCCCCTGCGTCCCTCTCTTGTCATTTAACTTGTTATCGTGGGGGTTTTCAACACTCATGACAGAAGAGAGGCTGTGTATGAACCCCATCACTGTGAGTGATGACCGCAGTCACCATCACTCTGCCTGCTCTGGTTCACCACCCCCCAACCGCCTGCCCTTTCCCTTCCAGAGAATTTTAAAGCAAATCCAAACATCATATCATTTTACCCATACAGAGCTTCTAACAGAAAAGGATAAGGATTTTTTCAAAACCCCAACATAATCACAATATCACTCTCTTGGCCAACAAAATTACCAACAATTCCTTATACAACCTAACACCTGTGTTCAGTTTTCTCTGTCTCAAAAATGTCCTTACACATGTGTTTTGTTGAAATGGGGATTCCCCACAAGGTCCACACATTGCATTTAGTTGCTATGTCACTTAATCTGCTAGCTGCCCTCCCCCCACCCCCATTTAAACTGCCCATCCTCTTTGAACAAGTGGGCTGAGTGCCCCCTCCCCCCAACCCGGGACCGTGGCCTCCACGAGTCCAGGTGTCCGCTGCGGGCCACTGCTTCCTGCCCAGCCCCTGCACTTGGTTTGGACAGCCTAGGCTGGCAGGCTCCGAGCCCCTGGCCCCTCTGAGGCCACGTGCCACCCTGGAGAAAGGGAGGATGCAGAAGGAAGAAGCAGAGCTAGGGGAGTTCACAGAGGCACCGTCTCTTCAGATGTAGCAGGTGCAGGGTGGCCAAAAGGGCTAGGGGCCGAGCACCCCCCACCCCAGCCCAGCTCCCTGCTCAAGCCCAGCCCTGCCCAGCACACCTGGCTTCCTCCCCCTGACTCACCCGCAGACACCTGCTCAGCACCTCAGCCGGCCGCGGGCTTAGAAAGCCCACAAGAGCAGCTGGGCTGAGGGCTGGAGTCAGGCCTGGGGCTCTGGCTCCTGGAAGGAGGCCAGGGCTTCTTGGCCTAGTGTCTGAGCCCTTTGGAAGGGAAGAGGAGGCAGGGAGAGAGAGGGAAGGTCTGGGCGGAGAGAGGCACCATCTGGAGCTTCACCAAAACCATAGCTGGGCTGCCTGGCTCAGGCCTTGTAAGTCTGAGGACAGTTTCCGAAACAGCCCTGCTTGCTCAGGGCTCACAGCTGTGAAAGCACAGGGGCCAGGCTTTGCAGTCCACGCCCCCAGAAGCAGCCCTCAGGCAGGCAGCCTCGCCCCAGTTAGGACCCTCCCTGCTAGGGGAACCCTGGGCGGGACTGGGCAGAGGAGCACACAACAGCGGCTCGCCAGCTCCCATGTTTTTCCTCTCACTCCACGAAAACAGCTTCCCCCTGCTCAGCGCAGCAAGCTGCCGCCTTCTGATCACTTTCTCTCTTTCGTTTCCAGCTCTGCAGCCCCGGCCAGCCCCTCTCAGGCACACAGTCCTCTCCGGGATAAGGGCTTGTTTGGGCCGCGGAGGTTCCAGGAGGGCCAGGCCTGACCAGCACATCTCCCCAACTTGGCCCACTGCTGGGAGCTGTCTCTGTAAACACAGCCCGTGAGGACAGACACCTCCAGGCAAGAAACAGGATCACCCAGGAAGGCAGGCCTCCACTGGCCTTGTCGGTTTGCCTGGCAAGAGGCGGCAGACGAGTTCCAGCGAGGCAGCGGTCCACACAGCGTGTCACTCCTGTGCTCAGATCCTGACAGCGGCTCCTACTTGCCCAGTGGAGAGGGCCAGGATCTTAAGTGTTCGCGAGGCCTCAGGTGGCCCCTGCTGCTCCCCGGAGCCTGTGCCCTGACTGGACCTTCTGACCAGACACTGCACAGCTGCCCGCTCTCCTCCTTCCAGCCCCTGCTCCAGGCAAGCCCGCCCCAGCTCCCCATCTGCCCTGCAGCCCACACCACCACACCTGCCAGTCCGCTTACCCTGCACTACCCTGGTCTCCGCAGCACTCACCACCTTCTAACATGCTATGTAATTTACTTGTTTATTATGATCATCTGTCCCCCCATCCCAACTAGAACGTAAGCCCCAGGAGGGCAGTTTTGTGCACTGCAGTGTCCCCAGAGCCTTGCACAGTGCCTGGCACGTGGTATGTGGTTAGTAAGTATTCATTAAATGCACGACTGACTGAACGTCAGGTCAGGACAGCAGTCAGCCTTTCTTGGTAGATGCAAACCCTTATTCCCCTTGAGTGTGGCCATTTGAAGCCCATGTTTTCCAAACTCCAAACTGGAAGACACGGCTTGACAAAAGAGGTTTGCTGTGTTGCAAGAGGTGGCCTGGGATAGGAAACGAGCTCCCGAGTTCTCTCCAAACCTGTTCCACCTGTGTCTTGCCTGTCTCAGTAAAGGGCTTCTCCATCCTGTCAGCTGCATAGATCTTGGGGCCTCCTTTCTCTCACATCCCACATGCCACTGGCTGTACTTGGGAAATACACCTAGAATCTGACCACCTCTCACCGCCCACACCACTATCTCCCCAGGCCAAACTGCCATCATCTCCTACCAGGAGGGCTGCAATCGCTTCCTTCCTCCCCACCCCCAACAGGCTATTCTCAGCACAGCAGCCAGTCATTTTTTAAAATTTTACAAATCAGATGTTGTTTCCCCTCTTATCAAAACCTTCCAATGGCTCTCCACTGTGGCAGGAAAGTCCAAGTCCCCACCTTATCCTTGAGGCTCTGGTGGATTGAGTCCCCATTTACCTGTTTGACCTCAACTCCTGCTATTCTACCCTCAGCTCTCTACTCCAGCCACAATGGCCTCTGTTTTTTCTCCAACCTAAGAGGGCTTTGCCTGCCCCAGGGCCTTTGCACTTGTTGTTCCCTCTGCCTGGAATGCTCTTTCCCAAGAGGCCTGCATGACTCCTTCAGGTCTATGCTCACACGTCCCCTTCTCTGTTCACCCTTATAAAACAGCATCCTCCCAACACTCCCTCTCTTCTTTATCTGGCTTTATTTTTCTCCATAGCATTTATCACTATCTGGTATGCCAAATATTTGCTTTTTTCTTGGTGCCTGCCTCCCCTGACTGAGTTTCACGACGGAGGGACTGAGTTCTGTTCAGAGCTGTATCTTCAGTGCCCTGAGCAGTATCTGGAGCACACTGCTGCGTGAGGCCAAAGCCCTGCTGTTTCTGGGATACTCCCAGGATTCATGGATCAACAAGGAGCAGTATGACCTTGAGACTCTTCTAGAACATGCAAGCCTTGGGGCTGTTGCGTCCGGACCACCTACAGAAGTCCTGTCCCTCAAATTCAGTTCTCCAGCACTGCTCCTGCGGCCTCAGACTGCAGCCTGAGACAGAGAGCCAAGCAATCCAGCCATTAAGGACTCCTCCTGCCCAGTGGTGCCCCAAGAATCCTCTACCTGGGCACTCACCCCAGATCCTCTCCTCCTAGACAAGTCAATTCTCAGCCCTTGTACTCTCCTTCACAGTGAATCAACTGATCGAGTTTATCAAGCACTCATGCATCGATGAAAGAAGAAGGGATGGCCCTTGTCCTGCCTGCCACGCAGGACTAAAGCTCAAGGGACCAGCAGGGCACCTTCAGCATGAAGTGGCAGGTGTGGTCCAAGCTGTCACCACAATGAGAGCCGAGGAAGGGGCTGGAGAAGCAGAGATGGGACCCTGCCTGGGGTCAAGGGCATGGACTCTGGGGTCAGGGCCCCTGGGTCTGAATCCCAGCTCCACAGCTTTCCCGGGGTGTGACCCTGAGAAGTTTCCTAACCGCATCTGCCTGGGTTCCCCCGTCTGTAAACGATGGACTACGATAACAGTCCTTACCTCCTGGGGCTGCTGTGAGAGGTAAGCTCTGAGAACAGCACCCGGGACACGGCCTGTGCCGTGCAGCAGGCTACCACCATTTCAGTTGGGATGTGATGGGAGGGGAAGGAAAAGTGCCAAGGGTGTGCAGAGGGCGGCTGGGCTGGCCTGTGAGGAGGGCCGAGAACAGGCAGCACGGGCAGGCCCGTCGAGAAGCTGGGAAAGTGGGCGTGTGGGCTTGCCGGGGCGGCTGTGGGGCCGAGGTGGCCCTCTGAAGGCGTGTTGCTTGAGGATCTGTCTGACAAGCCAGACTGGAAACGGGAGTGCCTGCAGCCCGAGACCTGGGAGGAGGCCGCGCAGCAGCCCCGGGCTCGCAGTCGGGAAGGGGGAAGCACACGGGAGGGCAGTGGGCAGGCCTGAGCTGGTCCTTCCTCCCCTCGAGCTGCCACGAGTCTGGGGCGGCTCTGCCTGGGCCATACTGCCCACCTGCAGACTCTCTCTCCTCTCTGCAGCAACAACACTGACTCATCCTTCAAGACCTGGCTCAGGACATCTCTGGAAGCCACTTCACTGCCCTCGGGCAGAGTCAGTCACTGTGCCCTCAGTCTGCCTCGCTCACACTCTCTCCTCTGAGGTCAGTTCCTGGTGCAGAGCTTGGCACACAGGGGCTGCTCAGCGAGGGTCTCATGAACAGATGGGCACATGGTGGACACGGAGCAGGTGGGTGACTGGTGTGGAGGGAACGCCCTGCAGCTGGGAGCCACATAGGCCAGGATGGACCTGGCTGGCCCCTGACAGACTGTGAGACCCTAGCCCTGGGGAGCAGCTGGGAGCTCCCAGGCCAGCTCTCCCTGGGGAGTCATCCCCACTGTACGAGCCCTGTTCACTGGCCTCCCTCGCAGGGCCCCTCCCAGCCCAGATGACCCAGCTCCTTCTCCATGACACTTCCCCTCGCCACTCTCTGGCCTCCCATCATGCTCCCCTCACTCTCTCGGGCACAGGCTCTGGCCAACAAAAAAACAAAACGAAACAAAATCCCAAGCCTTGAATTGACCCTGACGCTGGAGCACCCTCCGTCTTTCCAGTCACTGCCATTGCTGCTGGAGGGCGGCACCCTCACCCACCACCCGCATGGTCCTGCCTCTCCTGATCTTCCTCTCGCCTCCGCTCTGCTGACACTGTGCTCTGTTCTCGAGGGGCTCCGTGACCCTCCTCTGGCCAATGCCATTGCCTCTCAGCCCGGCTGCCCTCTGGAGCCCTCTGGGACCACTCGGTCTTGTCCCTTCTGCTGCATCTCTGTCTGCCCCTGCCCCTAACCCCTTGGCACGACACTGTTTGGTCCCTCTGTTCTCCTTCTTCAGAGATGCTCTGTCATCAGGTTTCCACCTCCGTGAAGTGACCCCTGTGCAGGCCACTCCCTCACCCACCCCTCCCAAGGTCTCTGCCTGGGGAACGTTCCCCTCGCACACCCCAGCTACTCAACCTCAATTCACTTGTTCACTCCATGAGTGTGCGCTGAGTTCACTCCATGAGTGTGTGCCAGGCACCGTGCTGGGTGCTGATGGGCAGCAGCGAGCGGAAACCAGTTGGTTCCTGCACTCAAGGAGCTGCTGCTGGGGTGTGTGTGTGGGTGAACACAGACCCTGAACAAATAAACAAGAAAATATCAGGAGGTGAACACCATGAATGATTTAAAACAGGGTGACGGTGCCAGGGCACTTTGGGTTGGGTGGTCAGGAAAGGCCTCCTGGAGAAGGTGACATTTCAGCTGGAACTGGAGTGACAAGAAGCTCCAGCCATGCTACGTCCTGGGGGAAAGCATGTAAGGCAAAGGGGGCAGCTGGGGCAAAAGCCAGGCCGGGCCCACTCTGACAGGCCAACCCAACCGTCACCTTTCTGAGCTCCCGCCCTGCAGTCATGGCATCTCGGACTCAACCGTACTGTCCACCCCACTCCAGGATGTGCCAGAACATTCTCTCAGCACCCTGGGCAGGGGGTTACACGGGCTTGCCTTCCACACCTCCAGCGACTAGAGACACACCGCCTCTCGCCGGGACCGTTCTGCCTCTCTCATGTTGCTGAGCTAGAGGTTCAGCTGAACCCAGCAACTGTTCCGGTGCTCCAGGGAGATTCCTGAGGTGAGAGCGTCCTTCGCCTCCCTGCTGTCCATCCTTGGGCTGTGACCCTGCTGCCCCCCCCGGTCCCTGAAGTGAGGTTCTCTGAGCTGCAGGGAGGTTGCAGTTGGAGCTTTTTGGGGAGAAGAAGACTGGGGAAAGAAGATGAAACTACCTTCCTTGCTGCACAAGAATGCCTAACGCTGGGACCGAAGGGACGCTGGGAGCAGGCAGTTTTAATTTAGCAGTATTTGTTTTCAGCTTTACTGTTTTTCCACCTATAAAAGTAACAGCCCCCCAGGCGCTGGGGGAGGAGGGCATGGGGAGTTAGCGTTTAACATGTACAGAGTGTCTGGGTTAATGAAAAAAAAGTTGATAGTAAAAAAAAAAAATTAAAATGATAAATTTTATGTTATGTATATTTTACCACAATTTTTTAAAAATGTAATATACTCTCCCAGTTCACTGCCCCATCCTCAGCGCCCAGCACACATAGTAGGCCTACTAAAAGTAACTGTCGAATGGAAGAATATGAGTGAAAAATTCAAACTCAACTTGGCTCTCCGGGCCTGAGGCTCCCAGCCTTTGGGAAAAGCAGCAGGAGTGACAGGCCATGGGGAGAGCCGCCTGCTCACCCACAGGCTTCCCAGGCCAGACGCACGCGGCCGGGCAGAGGCAAAGACTCACCTGGGCCTTCTCTTGCCAGAGAGGGAGCGCCTCTTGCTGGCCCAGCATCCGGGCGATGACCACGAGGCTGAGCTGGCTTCGAAGCTGCCTGTGAGAGGAGAGAGAGGCTGAGGGGGTGTGACACTTTGAGAGGGGGGTGGGCTTGAAGTCCACGCGGGGGCAGGACACGCCGAGACAGAAACATGGGAGGGCCACTCTCCCTCTGGAGTACTTTGGCTTTCTCCTTTGGTTTACAGAATTTATAACTGATTTTACAAGTAATAAAACATGCATATGGGAAAGTTAAAAAATAAGCAAAAAGAAAAAAAATTAAGGTCACTGGTAATTTCAGAGGCTGGCATAGCAGTGTTTTTCTTCGTTTGTTTTCTCTGTCTATACTTGTCTGTCACATAGAGAAAGGGAATGTTCAACAGCTTTTGCACAGACTTTTGCCTTTTCTCTCCTTTGCAGCATTAAAATCTTCCAGTCTCTGTAGGGTGGTGGAAGGTGAGTGACCTGGCCCAGTGAGACCAAATTTTGTTGTTTTTTTTCACCCAGCATCCAGTGACTTTCCTTTGGAGAACCCCTCCCCCATCCAGCCCAAACCCGGGCTCCCAGGGCCGGCTCGTGAGCCAGGCCTGGCCCATCAGAGTTCCTGTGACTGAGCCACTGAGAGGTGGCCTTGGGGCCCTGGCTGGAACTACCAGCAGTGTGTGTAACAGCCTTTCCAGCGAGGCCACTAATCTGGCAGGAGGTGATCCTACAGCTGCTGGTGGCCATCCTACCTCCTGTGAGAAAGCCTGGAGGATGAAACAAGCAGAGATGGAGGATGAAAACAGAGCCCTGACAACACCCAGAGCCCGCCATGTCCGAACCTCCAGCCCCTGGACCGTTTGGTAGGTGGGTTGGTTGGTCAGTTGTGTGAGTCAATAAAATCCCTTTTGCCTCAGTCAGTTTGAGCTGGGCTTCTGAGTCTAGCACCCAACAGTCCTAGCTGATTCCCTCAGGATGGAACTAGTGTCTCCTCTCTTCAAGAGTGAAGAGCTTGGATGGGGAGTTCAGACGCTACTGTTTGGGGCTCTGACTGGCATGGGTCTTTGAGGGCTGGAGTGAGTAAACAGAGAAGAGAGGCGGGAGGTGGAGACCAGAGGATGGGGCTGGGGTGGCAGTGGCTAGGGGAAGCTGGAGAGGGGCGATGGGAAGAGGGGTCGAGGGTCCCTCCTGCGCCCGTGCTCCCCTGCCAAAGCCCATCTCCACGTGAGGGTTACATCTTCCATGAACCTCCACACACTTGTTGCCCGCCACGGGCAGCAGATGGACTTTGATGTGGCCACAGTCCCTCATTCCTGCAGAAAGCCACCACCAGGGGAAGCCAAGAAGTGGTCCAGAACCTGGAGGAAACTAAGGAACATGAAGGAAGACATCTGGGATGGAACAGGCTCCCTAGAGAAGAGATGAGCTCAGGTGACCACACTGCTGGAGGAACCCCACAGGCACCCTCACCCACATCCCTGGATGATACCACAAGGAACTGCAGGACCAGACGCTGGGAACAGCAAGGGCAAGCAGTGCTCAGAAATGATGTCTCCCTAAGGAAGTACTGTGGGGGAGGCAAGACTCAGCCCGGCCACTTCCTGCTGGTGCTGAGGGCTCCACTGCAACCTCCCCAGGGCCTGCTGCTGCCCAGGCCTCACGTGGAGGAGGCTCCCAGGTGATGGGGAACTGAGGCAGAATGGCCACCTCAAAGCTCCCATGGGGCTGGGCAGGCTGGTATCTGAACCAATGCCTTATTTATTTTCTTTGCTAGCACTTTGATAGTCTAGAAAGTCAGAGGAATCAAGAAAGCAAGAAGCTCTTGATTAACAAAAGAAAAAAAGAGGCAGCAGGCAGTACCACCACACACTAGAAGGGTGAACATGAAAAAGAGGGGAAACGCCCAGGGCTGGTGAGGGTGTAGGGCAACGGGGATGCGCACGCCCAGCTGGTGGGAATACACATCGGTGCATCCACTTCGGGAGACTATTTGGCAAGATCTACTAAAGATGTACAGATGCTTACCCTACGACCCAGCGGTCCTACTCTTAGGTACATACGTATAAAAGAAAGAAAGGCAGAAGTGCAATACTGATACACCGTTAGAACGGATCAACAGCCTGGGCTCTCTCCTTACAACTCGATCCTACGTGTGATGATTACGAATGAGCTACAAGCAGATCCAACAGCGTGGATCATCTTGCCAGTGCTGTGTGCAAGAAGCCAGATACAAAAGAATACGTGTATGATTTAACTTATATGAAGTACAAAGATAGCGAAATACCAGCTGTTGGAAGTTGGGATTCTGGTGACGCTTGGGGTGGGGCTGCAGGTTCTGCTCACGTTTCATGTCTTGATCTGGGTGCTGGTTTCACATGTGTTCAACTTGTGGCAATCCACTGAGCCGCACACTTATGGTCTGTGTTCTGTTCTGCCTGTATGTTGCACTTCAATAAAACTATTACTTACAGAAGTTCAGCTGGAGGAGCAGATAGGATTACCAAATTTAGCCAATAAAAATACAGATGCCCAGTTAAATTTGAATTTCTTATAGATAAACAAAGAATAATTTTTTTAGCATAAGTTTCTCCCATCCAATATTTGTGTTTTATCTGGCAACCCTGGGAGGGACTAGCCACCCCCATCCATTTTTGATGGGAATGACCTGACAGTAACCAGTGTGGGGCCCTCCCTGATCCTGTCTCTCTCCAGCCTTGATTCCTTCCTGCAGAGCACCTCTGTACCCAACTTTCCAAGTCTGGAGGAGAGGCATCCCCATCTGGACTGTGCCATGGGACAGAAAACAGAGCTCCTCATCCTGGCGTCCCCCAAACCAGACCCTTGTGGGTGCAGCCAGACCCCCGCCTCTTACCTGGAGCCCCACCCTCCAGTCTCTCTCTGGGCCCTGGCCACATCACACACCCACATGGCCTCCACCTCACTGTCAGCCAGGACCTGCTCTCCAGCTGTTCCCCGGGAGCCGCTGCAGCAGCTGGGCCGGGAACACTGTGGGAGGTAAATGGCCCCTCTGTGCAGCCGCTCCAAAGTGAACTTGCAGCCAGAGTCAGAAGTCCTGCATCTGGGCTTCATTAATCCAAAACCCAGGCCTGCGCGGAGCTCCTTTACCCGCAGTGGGTGGGGAGGGGCCGAGCTGGGAGTGGGGGTGCTGGCAGGCCAGCAAAGCAGGACTGGGGGTGGTTCCAGAAGGGAAGAGGCGGGCCTGGGTGGGTCAGGACAGGGCTGTTGTCCAGAAACGAAGAAAAGCACCAGAAAAAGCAGTGAGGGGGTGAATGGATGAAAAGAAACCCATATCTGAGGGTGGCGTGCTCCCCTCGCTGTCCCTGCACGCCCACTGCCTTTCATCCTCCCTGCCTTTTAAACGCAGTCCCCTGCGCTCTCAGTTTCCACTGGGACACAGGGAGAGGGGACAGGACCACTTTTTTATTTTAGACTGAGAACTTACTCTACAGAAAAGAAAAAGCAAAGACTCACCCCAAACACCACCCAAACTGTGCAGGGGCAAGCAGAGGGGCCCGTGGGCCCGGCTGAGGTTGGCCACAGGCTGTTCCTCCCCCAGAAGCTGCTGACCCCACCCAGGGAGGCCTCCCCGGAACTCAAACCAGGCGGACAAAGGAGGATGCAGAAGCCAGTGGAGCCATCCCAGCCACTGTCATATAAGGCAACAGGCTCCAGCCCCCTGTGCTCACACCAGGCCAGGCCTCTGCCTCGGCCCTGCCCCCTCCACCCTGACGGGCCTCTGTAAGACCAGGACACTGGATTAGCACTCAGAAGAAGTGCCTAAGGCACAGGGAAATTTGAAAATGACTTTTCCAAACCCACAGCGGGGCCGGGAAGTGGAACGCAGGCTCTCTGCTTCCTAGTCTGCAGCCCTCCCTCCAGCTGCTGCAGGGCGCAGCCGGGCACCCTGCAGGAGCTCCGAGGAAGGCAAAGGCACCGGCCAGCATGGGCCACTAGGATGTCAGACAAGCACACGGTCAACGCAGCCCCCTCTGGTGCCCCTTGTCTTCACTCCTTCCAAGGGGAATTAGGTCCTGCTAAGGCTGAACTACCCTAAAAGGCCATCGGGCATCTGGCCAAAGGCGTGAGCTGCCTTTTCCACGTCTCTAGGGCAGCTCAGGAAGCAACAACAGCGGCCTGTTCTGCCGTGGAAATGCTGCCCAATGCCCTCCCTCAGGGCGTCTGCCCGGCTTGCCTCTCCGGGGCTGCCCACGCCGCCTCTCATGCAGCACGGCCGCCTCGAATGCCACCTGCCCCTCAGTCCTTCACTTGGAATCTTCTTTCTTGCACATGAGCATGTGCTACGCAGGCAGGACGAACCAGGGCCTGGGCTCAGGGGTTAGGGTAACCTCCTCGGTGGTCTGCCTGGTCATCCACAGGTTGGGGCACTCACGCATACGGGCATATACGGTGCGGACAGGAAGAGACAGCAGGATGCACACAGCCACAGATCCGTACAGTGGACTACCACATGGCACTGCGGCTGCCACCACTCACTTCAACACGGATGAATCCCGGAAACGAAATGTTGATGCTACGCCAAGGAAGCTAGACACGAGAGAGGAGGCTTTGCGTGGTCCCATTTATACAGTCCCGCGCCGCATAAGGATGTTTTGGCCAACAATGGATCGTATTTACAATAGTAGTCCCACGAGACTATAATGGAGCTGAAAAATTCCCACTCCCTAGTGATGTCATAGCTGTCCTAAAGTCAGCGCAGCGCGCTGCTCACGCATTTGTGGCGATGCTGGTGTAAACAAACCTTCACGTCCTTCAGGAGGTATTCCAGAAGAAGGCATTGTTATCCTAGGAGACGATGGCTCCATGTGTGTTACTGCCCCTGAAGACCTTCCAGCGGGACAAGATATGGAGGTAGAAGACAGTGCTACTGATGATCCTGATCATGTGTGGGCCTCGGCTAATGTATGTGTGTCTTAGTTTTCAACAAGCGTTTAAAAAGTAAAAAAAAAAAATTTAAAACTTTAAAAATAGGAAAAGCTTATAGAATAAGGATATAAAGAAAGAAAATATTTTTGTACAGCTGTACAATGTTTGTGTTTGTGTTTTAAGCTAAGTGTTATTACAAGAGTCTAAAAGTTTAAAAAATTTAAAAA